AACGACGATTCTCGTGGTAACTCGACCCGCCGGGCCTGCGCGTCTACATCGTACGGCGTGCGTGGCCGCCGGGCGGAAATCTATATCGCGAGCTGCGTATAAGATTTCGTCGCCGCGTTACGGTGGAGACGCGATGACGGCCGTCGTTGCGGTGATGCGAAAATATTTTCGAACCGACGTGCCGCGAACGTGTCGTATGGCTATCACGTAACGATCGGCGGTACCCGTCACAACCGTTTCGGGTCATGGATTTTTCTCTTTAGCGCGAACTTTCAAACACGTGTTCCGGCTCCGGTCACTAATCGAGGGCAGCTTTTCCCGCAACCTCCGGTAATAATTATCGAAGTTGTCGGTGAGCGTATGCCAGTCATGAACTACAGAATTAGTGATGATCGAAATTGGTCTTGATCTTGCGGTCTCGCAAAACTCTTACTGCTAGACCAAAACCAAGACGGTATTAGACTTGCAAGTACAAGGCCAAACCAATACCGAATCTGTAAGACCAAGACCAAAACAAGACCATCACTGTAAGACTCTTGCAGTCTTGCAAATTTTTTTTCATAAAAAACACGTTACTTATTTAGATTTCATTAACTAATAATTTATAACGAAAATAATAAGAAATTATTTGTATTGTAATAAAATTTGATCAGTATTTGAGGAAATTACGAATTATTAAAAAAATTATTAGAAATAATTGGAATTAATATTACAAAATAACATAATATAGTTGTTTCATTCTTAGCAATTACTAAAAAATTATATTTTTTTCCCCAAAATCGATGAAAACATCGAAAGTTTTCTTGCTCATAGAATAATTTATGACTTATGTCCATAATACACCTCTAATTTGAATCGAATATACTAATAACTGCTGGAAGTTATTACGGACTACGGTAGATATTATTTTGATTGGAAGTACGTTTATATTTTCGTTTGTAGCTGGTGTGATTTTTCCATATTAGACATTGTGTACTTAAACTAGTGTCTTATACAGCATATCATTTCATTACTGTCTTAAACTTGTAGTCTATAATATTGATATTTATTATAAATGTAATAGGCAATTACAAAGTTAATTATGCTGGTAAATTGATTCATCAAATTTAAATACAAGTAAAATAATATAAACATAATATTTTAAAACGCAAAGTCTTAAACGAGTACCTATAATAAAAATTAAATTGTTTGATTGTTTTATATTATTAATATACTATATAATATATTGGACTTAAGTTTCATCTAAGTCATAGCAAAAAACCTATACAGCTATAACAGGTAGATATTTAATTTTTTTTTTTTTATATTTTGTGAAAATGGCAAGTCTTGCAAGAGTCTAGCGCAAGACCAAGACCAAAACCAAGATTTTGAAAGTCTTGGTCTTGTTTTGATCATCACTATACGCAATTATTCCGTAGCTCATTAGTAATGAGTCATTACGAACTTACGAACGCACGTGCTGGACGCGACGAGGGCGTAAACCGTACGGTGGCGGATTAATGCGCGCGGAGACAGATTTGAACGCGATCTCACCGCGCGCAGACGGCGGTATACGTCATTGTAACATATTGCGACGAGCGCGCGCGTCCACTGCAGTCTCGTATATACGTATATTATCGTGATCGCATATGCGAGCGCGCACACGCGTGCACATAAAAAAAACGTAAATGTATTATAATACGAGTACGCGCAAGACACGCGCATTTATGTACGTATAACCGTGTAAACGACTCTCCGTCACTGCATACATATACTATTATATTTATGAGCGCGGGCGCGCGTACCGATCGCCGCCCGCCGCCGCACCGATGACGACCACTGTAATATATGTGCGCGCGCGCACGCACACACCGCAATCTCGGGGGGGGGGGGGGGGG